ATAAAAATCAATATAAGAAGCAAGCATTCAAGAGCAAAGAGATGAAGCGTCCACACTCACAAAGGGGAGGAGTATATAGCTCATTAGAAGAGGTTTGTTGTGTTTGAGTCTGAGGTGGACCGGTTTGCAGCATAATTTGCATAGTACAGTTTTCTGGTCCGTGTCAGAGTTTGTATAACCAAACCATGTCCATGCTACAGTGGTAGCCCCTCATTTAGGAATAAGGTCCTTGATTTGTTTTGACGGGTCTGTTTGGAGCCAGTTGTTCCTGCCTCCTCTTCACTGGCCATGCTGGGATTCTCTGTGCCCCGATGAACAAATATTGCTGTAAACAGTGTGCTTTGCAACACCATGAAACAAACGATAGCGTATAATTTGAAACGACAGATGTTTTCATATCTGATGTATTTTGTCATATTGCACAGCCCTATTCAGAAGTGCTAAACTCATTTTACCTTTTTGTTCATATTAGGCCTTTATATATAGTGGGTCAGTTGACTGAACTAGTATATTTAAACTGAGCTGGACTAACTGGAAACCAGTGTACTAATTGTTCTGATGATTAACGGTTGAGTCTCTTTTTGCGTTTCCTGTGACACGGTGATGCAGGGGAAGTACTTCTACCTCACACCAGGGATCTGTCCAAGCCTCAGCACAATGAAGTCCATTCTGGAGAGCGCCGGAGGAAAGCTGCTGACCAAGCAGCCCTCATACAGAAAGATCATGGAGCACAATCAGAATAAGGTGCTGAAAGTTGCTGCAACTCTTTCATGTCTCTAGGCACTCGTAAATGTCCACAGAGGTGGTGGGTTCTTGTGACAATATGGCAGAAACCTGGGAGGAGTGTAGCTTTTATTTCATGTATTTTCATTTCAGCACAAAATAAAACAGACATGTGTTTGACAGAAGTCTTTTATTACAGTTTTTCTCTATAAATCAGTAACCACATGTTGGCATTTGGTTGCAGAACCTTCCGGAGATCATATTAATTTCCTGCGACAATGACCTTCACCTCTGTAGGGAATACTTCTTGAAAAACATTGGTAAGATGCTCTCCCAGGGCCCACTTGTATTTATCCTCATTTTATTTTTTTTACAGAGTGTCTTCATAAAGTTGACATTGTGTTTCATTTGCACTCTTGTGGTCTCTGTTTTCCAGATGTCCACAATGCTGAGTTCATTCTGACTGGAGTTCTCACCCAGAAACTTGACTATGAATCATATCCTTTACAGTCTCACAGCAACTAGTTTAGTTTGCTGACATGTTGTATGGCTGAATGATACTTTCAGTCTTTAAACCCAAAATGATCCCAAATTAAAGCTGTAGAGTTGTTCTTCCAGGCAGGGATCATGCAGTCAGTGGGAAACAAACGCATTAGTCACATGTCCTCTTCACTGCAGTGTGGGCTAAACACACTATTGGGAAATTTGTGGATTCATCACTCATGATGAATCCACAGTGATGAATCTGATAAGTCTGCCTGAGATTGCACAGGTCTTCACTTACTGTCATGTTATCTATGAACTAATGCACACATGCCAATCGTTTGGCATCAACAAAAGTACGCAATAGGGGTATTTTCCAAAGCGGCCTGGAGCCCCTCCCCTGTAATACTAATGTGGATGTTATTACCAGATAGAGGCCAGAACTGCAGCTGCGTTTGAGCCCATGGAGAAATGTTTTGCTGTGTGATGTAGAGTGACCGGATGGTGGTGTTACTGGGTTCAGTCAGTTTCCTTGACAGTCACACATATAAGTTCACTTGATGACGCAGCAGTGAAGCATAAAGAAGAGGACACGGGACAGAATGAGGACAACCGTGTGTACAGTCCAGCCACACTGACTTTTCTATGTTTTTATTTCTGTGCAGATGTCTCCAGTCTTTTTGTAGCCTTTTGTTACCTGTTTGAGACGAATTAAATGGATGTTATTTTTGTGAAATAATTGTTTAAATTATGGAGGATGAAACTTTGTTTTCTGTTGTTGAGAATAGGATGTGTAAAGCTTCAGCTCACAAATGCTGCTTTTTGGAATAAAAACTACACTTTGATTGTGAAAAATGCTTTCAGCTTCATACCTGATCAAGGAAACTGTTAATATCTAAAGTAAAACATTAGCTTTTTAGATAAAGTTAATGTCTGTGCATGTGCAATAAAGCCTCATAGCAGAGTATGATTGGCCATGCAGAGACTCATTGGGGATAAATTCACAATTCAAGCAGTCACGCAGTAAAAGATGGACATGTTGAGAACAAAAGGTCTGTTGACTTCTCATGTTTTTGAGGGTTTCAACGCTTTCTCGATGTTATTCCTCCCAGGTTTAAACGGATAATTCCTGATAGAATTAATTTAATTAACTGCTAATGAGGGTCTGGGGTAGTTACTGGTGAAGTTCTAATTGCTGGCTGTCAGACAGACAGCCTGAGATCATGTGGGTGGAAGTGAGACGTGCGGCGTCGCCTGCGGTGCTGTCCTCAAAAACGACAGACTGAATTAGACACAGCCTGAGCCAAGGTCATGTACTACATATTCCACGTGCGGGTGCCAGTAGCACTGCTCGATGTGTATTTACATGAACGTGAGATTTGATGTTTCATGGCTGACCGTGCAGAATCACGGCTGAACTGCACAGAGATTCATGTTGCTGTATTGAAAAAGAGCCATCATACACACTTGGCGTGTCACTGAATACACCAATAAGCCTGACTAAAGCTGTGGGTGCAGGCATTCCTGAGACTGAGCGCAGACACAGCAGCAGATACATTAGGTACTGGAAGTGTTTGAGATGAATTCAGATTTAACCACAGCAATGGTGCTTTGTATTGTAAAGATCCCACAGTATTGGAGAGAAAACAAGCAATCAGAGCAAATACTGTTAAAAGTTCTGCCAGAGGTTTCTCACTCAGCACTTTTAACTAAAACACAGCGTAACCACCTCTTCATGGTTCAATTGTGATGCTTGCGTTCAATGTAGGATCTTTTGGCTTTGGCACTTTGTCCATTCTGAAGCTACGCAGCCAGCTTTTGCTCTCGATGCCAATTATTGAGCCTTATGTGCCCATGATTCTTTCACAGGTTCAGTGGTTGTTCTTCCCTTAACTTAATGTTGTCTTCTAAGAAGGCTCTAAAAGATGAAAGCATCGACCTGTAATATTTACTGTTGAAACGTTAGGGTCAGAAAGCCCTGTGCAGCTGCAGCGGGAGATGACATCGGGCTGATGGAAAGCATGAAGATGATGAAGCAACCAAAGACTGCTAATTGGACAAAATGAGGTGTGAAAAAAGAGAAACCATACGCCAAGAATGTGATTGAAAGCTGATCTACGGGACACAGAGTAGTGATATCTGTTAAACTGCAGTACATTACGGTGGGCATCGGCAGTTTTGGACACAACAATGTGTCCGCCTTAAAAACAGCCAACTCCCTCTGATATGTTGGTTCAATCCTGCTGCCTGCGTGTTGTTGAGAATGGCATCATCAGATAAATGAAGAAATCCAAAAGAAGTAAGAACATCTCAGAGTACAGTGAATACACACAGACACACACACACAGTATTTGGGCAATCCTAATTAATTCCAATTAAAGATGCAAAAAAAAAAAAAGAGCCACATCTTTGATTAAGCAGCAGTTGGGCTCCTTGTTGGTTTGCGATGTCCTCCTCTGACACAGCCCAGTTATGGGGAGAAGGAAGGACACAGAAACTGTTGTAATTAATACAGAAATGCTTCATGTGAGATATTTCTAATTAGTCCCCAGTTCCTCCCTCTGTTGGCTCAGACACACTTTGGTTTGCCTGTTCCACAGGATGCAAAGGAATTACAGACTAATTACACAGAGACGGGCGTTGGGATTCATCGGGCCCTGCAAATTAACATATGAGCTAATTAGCATACGATGGAACTAATGACTAATAATGTAACCAATTACATGGGCTGGGCCATCTCATTCTACTTTTGGAGAAAATTATGCTTGGAGGGGAATGCATTGTTTTACTCACAGACAAAGACGAGAACAGGAAAAGGTTGGTTTTACAGTCAGGTTTCCATGTTCACTGTGCAGCAGTCTCAGTGCCCTGCTCAGGGGCTGCTAGATATAATTGGAGGTGGTGATGAATGCTAGTATTTTAAGCAACAGCTTTGCAGGCTCAAATAGTACTGAGAAACTAGCACATTTGATCAAATGTAGGTTTTTCAGCAATAGGGCAGAAAAATAAAATTACATGACCAAAAAAACAAAGCCATATAAGAAGAAAACAGACAAACGAATACAATGTAAATGATACGTTTAGTGGATCTCAGAGTAGTGAATGTTTTTAACTGCTTGTGTCCACAAGTGGTGACAGGATTGTTTCATCTATTGAATTACAGGCTCTCTGGTACCCAATCCAGGTGGTTCTTAGGTTGGTCTGCCTGGTCTTAGAGTCCTGTATCCTGCTCTATGTCATGGTTGGCTCTGGGTTTTTTGTCCCAGCATTTTGAGTTTGGTGAGCATCAGTGTTGTGGCTGCAGTCCAGTTTATTATTCAGGTGAACACCCAGGTACCTATGAGAGTCCACTATCTCAATGTCCACTCCCTGGATGTTCACCGCTGTCAGTGTGGTGGGTCTGCGTCTCTGGAAGTCCACCACCAACTCCTTGGTTTTCCCGGCGTTGATCAGCAGGTGGTTCTGCTGACACCAGTCCACAAAGTCCAGAGTCCACTGTCTGTACTCTGAGTGGTCCTCACCTGTGATGAGGCGACTATGGCAGAGTCGTCAGAGAACTTCTGTAGGTGGCAGCGTGGGGAGTTGATGGAGAAGTCTGCAGTGTAGAGGGTGAAGAGGAGCGGTGCCAGCACAGTTCCCTGTGGGGCCCCCGTACTGCAGACCAGCGTGTCAGAGACACAGCCCTGTGTCCTCACATACTGTGGGCGTCCTGTGAGGTAGTCCAGTATCCACTGGGACATGTGGTCGTCCACTCCTGATAGCTCCAGCTTGTCCCTCAGAAGTCGTGGTTAGGGGTGGGTTTTGATTACGGATTTATCGATTCTAGCTTGGATAACGTGATATCGATTCATTAAAATCCTGAATCGATTTTTAAATATAAATTTATTTTGTCCTCAGGTTAAACCTCACAAAATTTCAACAACCACCAAACAGCTAAAACAGTAAATGAGAGCAGGAGCACGGATTCTGCACTAAGACGTGAACAAAAAAAGCGTGGACCCGCCGACGGATCAGAATCAGTGAGCTGAGCTTTCTCACCCGACGGCATGGACAGCTCGCTGATTCTGATCCATCGGCGGCTCCGCGCTTTGTGTTTACGTCCTCTTTGCGCTGATTCTGAAGCTGCAGGTTTTATCTCTCTCCAATATTGACTGAACCAGCAGCAAAAGAAGATCCAAACTACGCTTCAAATTTTGCTTCACGCAAACATGAATTCCCTCTGACTTTTCCTGTTTTGCTTCCACCAGGATAAAATCACACTTCATGCACAGCTCTCTCTCTCTCTGTACTTCAAGAACAGTTTCCCGTCTAAAAATCTGTTTTCTTCATTATTCGCTTGCTTATTACGCACAAGTTTACCGTTGTTTACAGCCTGTGGGCCGCTGTGTTTTCCTTTTACTTACTTCCAACAAGAAAGCCTCATTTCTGCCGTTCAACAGGCTACTGAACGAATTTTAAAAAACTTTTTAAAATTTGCAAAACGCTTGGCTGTGTCTGTTACGACCCCCTCTGCTGGGCGACAGGAGGGGAGTAACATACACAAGCCCCCACATGAAAACTGAGTAAAATAAAAGGGTTTATTGCAAACTTTAAACAGAAAACCAACAGGACTGTTCAACAGACCACTGGGCAAACAATTGCCTTTTATACCCACAGGTGCACACAATCAGCCAGTCATTTCCTTTTGGAGTGTCATGGGATCTCCAGGCAGCCAATTGTCCGCGTGGTCTGGCACACTGCAATCTGCATAGAAGAGGGCTGGCACGGGTCTCCCAGCAACCAATCATCCGTGAGTCATAGCACACTTGGATTTGCATGAAAAAAAAAAAGGGAGTCTCAGTCCCTCCAAGGCCCAGGGCCGTAACAGTGTCTCTAATAAAACCTCTGTAACTTTGCTCTGCTTCACTTCAGCAACATCAGGTAATGTTCATGTTGTATGTTCACCAGTATAATAATGATCAAGCAGTAGATTCAGCTGACATGGTTTTATTAACCGGCAGAGCAGCAGCGCTCGGATTCAATAGCCGAATGCCGCATACACCACTCAAACATATACAGACCTACACGGAGGTACGGCAAGCGGATTAGGACAAAATACGAAACTGACAGGAGGTTATCTACACCCCCCTTCTTTAGTACATCCCTAACCAGATATAAAGTTTAATGCATGCTAAATAATAATAATCACAGCATTAAAGGTCACATATGCTGGTCCTTAGGAACATTTAAATTTGCAAACCAAATGATCGCCCCCACAGTTAGTACAGTTAGTGATATGCTGTGTTTCAGACCTGTCTCCTTGCATTTTTATTTTATCTCCTCTGTGCTTTCTTGTAAATTTGGGCTGGAGCACATCAACATTTGTCGCAGATTGTTGAGGAAAAGCAAGTGTTTTATTGTGCTCTTCAGTCATTTCATGAATCTGGCAGACAGATATGGCTTTCGCTAACGTTAAATCACTGCAGTAGCACTTTCCTTAAATTGTCATTGTTGATGTCTGTCTTTTATTAGTGCATCACTCAGATCACCAAATCTGCAGCTTTTTGCTTTAATCCGTAAACCACTTACATAGGATTCAACAGTCTCGTCCTCTGATTCCGCATGTTGAACTTGTGTCTTTCCATCGTGACGTTGGTTTGTGGGCTGCACATTTCTCTGAACTTCCTTTTGAGGCACTCAGGATCCTCCTTCGATTCTGCAGGAATAAGGACTCGTCCTCCATCGCCGGGCTCTCTCACTTCTGGCGCGTAAACAAAAGGCCGCTCTCGTTCTATAGCTTTGGGGCTAAGTTGAGCAATATGTAGGCTTGTGTGCACGCTGGCTTGTCAGAGTGTGTCGCCGCTATAAAGATGTCA